GGGGGGGGGGGGGGGGGGGGGGGGGGGGGGGGGGGGGGGGGTACTCCTATGCTTTGCATGCCTTGAGCGGTTAGACCATTGGCCACGAGATGATGGAGCATGGTTCCCATGGGACCAATCACCGATGGCCAATCTTTCCTTCTTACTTTGCGAAAGGTGGCTCAAACATAATTTCCCTGGCCTATCTATCCTATCGATCACCTCCCGCGGGGGAGGGGGTTGAAGGTAGAGGGACAAACATATGGCGAGCAGAACCGGGAAGTTGGAGGCAGTGCTGAGTTTTCATACGCAGGGAAACGCGCGCTAAAACGTGTGAGTGATCGACCTAGCGCGGTAGAGTAACAGAACACTACAAATTAAGAACATACGGGAATAGAGCTAAACTCCAAAATAATCAATGACAAGGAAATGAAAAATAACGAACATGCACCATCTCCTTTTCGGCGGAGCAAGGTTCACCCCTTGGTGCGCGAAATGTTCACCTCACACAGTCGCCAGTAATGGTCCGCGCGAAAAACGGCCACACTCGTTTTCAGCAAGGCCGTTTAAGTAGACAATCGAAGAATAACTCCTTGGTGTTTCAATCGTATCGGTGTCTTCTTCGTCCTTGTGTTCCGAATATAACCAAATCGAAACATTGCCTCCGGCACCGCTTTAGTACCCCACACCCACGTACCTGAAGCATGAAATTACGAATGCTTCGGTGGAACTTGGTCCCATCGTAGTACTCCTTCTCACACAGTCCCAGGAAGTTCTCGGCCATGCGCGGAACGATGTCGCAGTGGATCTCGACGTTGATGTTCCCCTTGGTAGTCTGAAGCTGGCAGTACCCCTGTTGTCCGGTGCGGTTCACCCCGTCGTAAGCGTCGACACAACGGAATTAGAGAATGACGACGCGTGGTGTGCCGCAGTAGCAGGAGTAGCAGGGCATGCCCGGATGAAGGCAGAATTTGCGAAAACTGAGGGCGTACGGATGCAACTTCCAATCGACACATCACTCGATGCTGGCAATTCGACATTCAAAGCATCCAACGAGTGAAGGATACGTCTTGTTCTTTTCGGCGCGCCCTGGCCCGATGGTCCACAAAAATTCAAGATGCCGCCGTCTTCGCTACAAGTGTGTAGCTTTCGAGGACTGCTACAGAGCATCAACCGCGCTCACCCACTGGGTATTGAAAATACGTACAGTCTTAGTGGGGTACAAAAAGCCGCAATGCTTTCTATCCTGCCGGCTGTCCCGACGGGGGGTCTGCGCTTCGCGGACGTAAGGTGTATTTCCTACTTCTCAAACTTGCGTGCTCGTGCCCGTGTGCGTCTTTTCTTGGCGGTCGTACCCCTTTGTGCTGTCCCTGACTTTCTCATCTCTACCCAGCGCCCCCCCCTGAGCATCAGTGAGCGTTGGGTAAAATCCCTCACCCCGAACCAACCTACAAACCTCAAGGCCTTAGACCTAACGCTGTAACGCTGCTACAGTCTTACGTGGTTGCTGTTGCTCTTCGTCTTACCTTCTTCCCAAGTTTTCGGAGACGGTACCAGCGGGCGTCGTTGATTTCGTCGTCCGTGGCAAGGCGGGCTTTGCTCTCCGTGCTCACCTGAGAACACGTGAAGAACACATCAGCACATCGGAAACTGGCATTTACCCAAAAAATAAAAACCGCGAAACAAAAACAAACAAGAGCCAGACACCGTTAGAGGAGAGAGCAAGAGATGATGGGCAAGAAGGACCAATGGGGTTGGCAAATAAGGAGGGAACAGGGCAGACAAACGAAGCGTTGATGATCCGAGGATGGTCGCCTTTCTTCCCCCGTCTTTCACCGCCGTAGAACACGCGACAGAGAAAAGCCGCTCCCCCACTCTTCTTACCGCAAGCGCGCTGGAGGTGAACGAGCCCGACGTCTTCCCGCTGGTCATGATCCTGCCTTCGACAAGATCTTCCGTCGTCACCTTCCCTCGCTTCCACAGCCTCTCCCCCGCAGCAAGCCCGGCCTCCTCCCTTTCACGTTTTTTTTTAACCGTCAGTGAGTGGGGGGGGGGGGGG